CTAACTACCACCACTAACTAACTACCACCACTAACTACCACCACTAACTAACTACCACTAACTAACTACCACCACTAACTAACTACCACCACTAACTACCACCACTAACTAACTACCACTAACTAACTACCACCACTAACTAACTAACTAACTAACTAACTAACTAACTAACTAACTAACTAACCAGCAGTGTCCCGTTCTCTACAGCCTTGTTCATGTGTCGCTGCTCAGCCAGGCGGGCTATAGGGGGCGCCCTTTCACAGATTATTAATAAACTTCGTCCATCTACAAATTAATACATTTCACTGCATCCTTCGCTTGACTCCGCCCACAACAACTCTGATTGGTTCAAAGAAACACGAACCAGGCGGAGCCTCTGTGCCGCTGCAGCAGGTAACAGCGACAAGCAGCAGACCATCCTGAACCAGAACCAGAACCAGAACATCAACCTGAACCTGTATCTGAACCTGAACCAGAACAAGAACCGGAACCAGAACCTGTATCTGAACCTGAACCAGAACTTGTACCTGAGCTTGAGCCAGAACCTGAACTAGAACCTAAATCTGAGCCTGAACCAGAACTAGAACCTTAATCTGAGCCTGAGCCTGAACCAGAACCTCGGCATGCTGCACATCATTCCTCTATCCTCATTGATTATTGATCACTTCCATTATTTGGTGGTGCTTGTGGGTTTCATGGTTCTTTCTGCTGGTATCAGTTTGAACTTTTTCGTTTTTTTTGATTAAGAGGACGTTAACGAGCATTAACGAGCAGTTACACATGACGGCAGCATTAAAGCCGACGTTAGCAGCCTGATATCTGACATCAGAACCTCTGCAGTGAATCACCAGCTGAACCGAATGTTCCAGTAAAGATCGTCTGACTGGACCTGCACGAACCCGTCGCCTCCACAAGCCTCCAGACCACTGCAGCTACACGCTAACTCTGCTAAGTGCTAACTCTGCACCCTGAGACCACTGGACACACCGAGCGGGTTCCTCCCGGTAGTTTTACATCTGAACATTCAAACCTTTCCTTGTTAGCTTCAGAAGCTCAGCGGTGGATGTTTAGCATCTCTGAGCAGACGTCATGACAACAGGTGGCGCTGATGAACCCAACAGTCGAGGCTGGATGACTTTTACACTCAGTGTGACGTCTGTTCCCAACCTGCAGGGGGCAGCGTGTCGCACGTGTACCACAGTACTTGGACACCGTTTACAACACGGCATCACGCGCTCGTCTTCATGAAGAGGAAGACCTTAGTGTTCTGTTCTCACTGCTGGACAGAAACAAGACAAGTTGGTGGACTCACCCGTTCATCTTCAGCCAGTTTCAGGCAGACGAGCTTTCAGGTTCTAGAAGAACCTCAGTCTGCTTCAAAAAGAACCAAATAAATCTGCTGAGATGAGTTTTATGTGAGAAATATTCTGATATTTCTGTACATTCTGCCTGCACGAGGCTCCGTCAGGGTTTGACCAGGACCTGAAGGAGTTCCATCCTCAGAGGAACCAGACGGACTCTCCAGAACCATCAGTCTGGAGCAGTGAAAAGGCAGCGTCGGCCTTAAACAGAATAAATCACAGCTCCGATACTTCAGCTCTTCACTTTAGTTAGAAAACACAGTCTGGACATAAATCCTGTTTACTGCGGTGTTGATTTTCTCTTTCGGGCCTGAACCCGTCGATACCATCGACAGGAAGACGAATGTCTGAGCTCGGCGCTGCTCAGTCTGTAAACGGCTGCTGGACCGCCGTCCAGCGGCTCGGTACAGGCTGAAGATGTGCAGCAGCTCCACGTCGTCCCTCAGAGCCCACCACATGCCTCCATCTGAACTAGAAGGTTCCTTCTTACTCCAACTCTTGATGAAGAACCAAACAAAACCCAACAAGCTTGGTGACTCTAAATCGTTGCACCCAGCAGCTAACCACGTGAACCTCTGTGATGCTAACTGCTCTCATCTACAGCTGCAGGACGCTGCTTTCAATGCTAATTATGATTAATGACGAAGAAATGAGCTCACTGATCAACAACAGAACGTCAAAGGTTCTGACTTTAGTCTCAGCTTCGTTTTCCCTGTTGAGGATCTTTAAAGGAACACACCTGAACACTGAGGTTCTCCCCAGAACAGCCTCCAACGTCACGCTGAGCACCATTAATCACACACCCGCTGCTTCCACCCGAACCCGACGCCCCAGTGGAGCAGCAGGAAGTGATGTCATCAGGCCTGACGGTCAGCGCTGACATCATCCCCGGAGGACCAATGAGATCATGAAGAACCTCAGAGTGACCTGAAACCCAGAAACGAGGGTCTGAAGGGTTCTGTTCTGACTGTAAACCTGTTCACTGAGCAGGAACACAACATGGAGAACATATATAACACATATATAAAACATATACATGATACAACACATACATAAAATATATCAAGTGTTCGTTTGCAAAACCATTTTGGTAGCTTTTCAGAAA